AGAGAGAGTGGGGAGACTGTGTTCTTCCACAGGAAGCACCCGGGACAGGCTTCGGTGAACATGTCTGCTTTATTAATGACTATGTACAGGTTTTAAAGGGCAGGCGTAACGAATTCAGGGCAACACTAACTCTATAAGATAGAACTGACACTGGTGCCAACATGTCTCTCCAATAAGCTTGAAGGTCACACAGGTAGGGTTGCTTTCCAGGTGGGCCTGGGCCACACCCGGGAGCAGTTCACCTGATAGGCAGAAGGCAGGGGTGAGGGGAAACGTGCCCAGGGCTCGGGCCACCTGCCAGCAGCCAGGCTGCAGGGTCCCTCCCAGGAGTCATGGTGTGCCATACCCTCTCAACTTCCTGCACGGCAGGGCAGGCAGTCTCATGGGATCACCCACAACAAAGAATACTGGGAGGATTATTCCAGTCATGTGATGTATAATATAATCATAAATACATTTATATGATATATCATAATCAAAATTATTAGGACATCTAAGATAATCATAAATTATGGTTAAAATAATAATTTTCTAATAGAGGGGAGAAAGGAATGTGAGCCATAGATTAGTCTGTGTTCTAATTAATATGGTGGACAAAGACCTTATTATAGAGATTAATTTTACCTGTTTAAACATTTTATATATTTGCATCTTTTCCTATGTATGAGAATTTGTGTATTTATATATATTAATTATTTCATGATTTTACAGAAAAAAGTTATTTTTTATCAAAATAATTTTCAAGAAAAGAAAAACTAAAATTCTGATAAGATTTAGGAAGCTTTTTCACTTTACACATTACTGCAGTTTTCCATTTTGCGTGTCACCCTTATGTATCAGCCAACCAGACAGGCTCCTATTTTTCTTTCTCTTTTATCTTCCAACTTTTATTTGTCAGGGTCTAGTCAGGAAATAAGGAATCTGGATGTCTCAACTGGAAGTGATGTAGTACAATGATTAATTACTGGCTATCCCAAGTAAAAGTGTTGTAATACAAAGATTGATTACATGAGTGGGCCCAAAACCCAAAAAGCAAATAGAAGAGGGGGAGGTAAAATAAAGATTACTAACCCCAGAAAGACTGAGGGAAAAAAGGAGGGAGGTCTTGGAACCAGGACCTGAAAGCACAAGAGGTCCCCCCTGCAAGGGCTGCCTTCCCCACCAGCACTGAGGTCTGGGAGGAAGAGTCACTTCCTGGTTGTGAGAACTGTGGATCCAAGTATTACTTTCTGAGACACTGAGGAAAAGCAAGACAAGGAGTGTACGGAAGGAACAAAAGATTCTCCGTCTTCCTGCCTTCCAATCAGCTGCCCCTTCCTGTCAGAATGCAATAGTGGCAAGTGACAAAGGAAAATGGGAAGTACAGCTTTTATACCACTAATTCCTCATCTCAGCTCCTCAAAACTTTCTTAGTCATCATCTAGCTTTCCTATATAGCACAACTTCTGTAAAATTCAGTGACACTTACACAAAAATACTCAGCATTTGTATTGGTGTTGCTAAATTCATTTGCCCAAGAAAAGTTTTATATAAAAAATCTCATTTTCTATGACTGACAAGATAAATGAAACAAGGATCCTATTTAAGGAATATGAACTAAGAGTGAGGGTATGACAAGTTACAAGTTCAAATGCTAGCTTCTCTGAAGATAGGAGATGGAGCTACTGTGATATTTTGAGTTCCATTCAACTCTGATAACTTTACACTGTAAGACAAATGAAAACAACAGATACAGGGACATGTGAGAACCAACCATGGGTTATGAAATCCAGATCCATAGACAGCAATGTCCATCCTAACTCAGCCCAAAGGGGGAATATCCATCACGAAGTTTGAGGCAGAGACTGGTAACATTTACTTTTTGACTCTTATTTTGCCCTCTATTTAATAATTTTTTAAAGTACAATATTATTCTTAACCTAGAAATTGGCATTCTTTTTATAAAGATTTATGTATGTATGTTTGTATGTTTGTACTTGATAGAGCAAGAGAGAGAGAGAGAGCATTTCCAATCACTGGTTCATTTTTCAAATGGCTGCAACAGGGGCTGGTGCTGTGGCACAGCGTGTTAACACCGTGGCCTGAAGTGTCGGCATCCCATATGGTTGCTGGTTCTAATCCCGGCTGCTCCTCTTCTGATCCTGCTCTCTGCTGTACCCTGGGAAAGCAGTAGAAGATGGCCCAAGTCCTTGGGCCCCTGCACACTTTGTGGAAGACCCGGAGGAATCTCCTGGCTCCCAGCTTCGGATTGGCACAGCTCCGGCCATTGTGGCCATCTGGGGAGTGAACCAGTGGAATGGAGGACCTCTTTCTCTGTCTCTACCTCTCTCTGTTACTCTTTCAATTTACAAAAAAAAAAAAAAAAAAGAAAATCTTTAAAAAATTTTAAAATATTGGCTGCAACAGCCAGATCTGGGCCAGGTTTGAAACTAGCAACCAGGAACTCCATTTGAGTCTCCCAGTTGGTTGTAAGCACATGAGCCATCCTCATAAATTCCCAGACACTTTAGCAGGAAGCTAGATCAGAAGCCGAGCAGCCAGTACTTGAACAGACCCTTCCATATAGCTGCCAGCATCCCAAGCAGCAGCGTATTCTGCTGAACCAGAGCACCAGCCCTACAACAGGAATTTCTGAATGGCCAACTCACTTGAGTGACTAAGTTTTAAAAATATACTTTTGGGATTTTGGTTTTATTGAGATATGGTGATGACTGCCATTGAAAAGATGCTTATGATTCACAGTTCCCAAGAGGAGAGTATTCCGCTCAGTGATTACTGGCAGCAGAGAAAGAGTCTGAGAACTACAAGAAAGTCATGTGGGGTTTTCTAGGGAAGTAATGGACCCGGGAGTGAAAGTGACTGACCAGGTGAGAATTGTCTAGCTTAAATAAGACTAGTGGGCTCCAGCCTGTGAAGGCTGCCTCTGGTCGTCTGATGCTGGTGATTAGGGAATAAGATTAGGAACAAGATTAGTGCCTCAAGTTTAAGGGAAACTGGTGGGAGTATGTGGGGGTGAGGAGGGGAGGCTTCTTGACTCATTCCTTTGTATATCAAAGGTATGTTCACAGAGTTATTTGCTATCTCTTGGAATTAGCTAGCATTAGGAGGAGCTTTCTCTTCAGAGTCAGCAAGGCTCCAGGCAACACAACAGCCATGAAGGAAAAAAAAGTGGCTAATATTGTAATATTTAGGAAGAATTAATATAATCAGTAAATTAATAAAGATTGCCCAGTTCCTAATACCCCCAGGGAAACAGAATTTATTTTTATGTCCATGGGGGTTTACCCCCATTCCTTATCATTTATTGCCTCTCCAAAATTAATTTCAGTTTTTCATATTACTGTTATGAGTTACAATATTAACTAATTCTTTGATGCTTCCTCTTCAATAAACACCTTTTTCATTTCTTGTTCATCCTTTTGAAGCATTTTATACAGGGCAAATGTTATTCTGAGCACACCATGACAAAATTCCAAAGTCAGAAAACTTCCCCTCTGCATTTTAGCCAATGCACATGCTCAGAGTTGACTCTCAGTGTGTTGGAGGTAATTTATTTATCTCTCTAACTGAGCCTTTATTTTCTTTGCTGCAACTTTGAAAATTCCTTAGACTCTGATGCCAAGCCTGCGATGCTAAACTCCCATCCCTACCCCCATCCCACAAAAAAAAAAAAAAGAGAGAGAGAGAGAGAGAGATAGAGGGAGATAGAGGGAGAGGCTGAAGGGGATTTGGAAAGTCAGCCTAAGGCTCAATTCAAATGAATGACCTGAACAGGAACTGTTGGATAATTGCATATTTTTCTTATCTGAAGACAAGATTGGAACATTGGGAGCAGGAGGAAAGAGCATCTGATTCATTATTTCTTTAAAATATTTGGTTGGGATGTAGGAATAACATACAAAAGCCTCTGAGTTTAGCAGAATCATTACTGTGAAATAATGTACCTGACTCCAAAAATACGTCAAAAAGCAAAACAGAATATAAGCCCATTCCCAGCAGTTTGAATTTATTATTTATGATGCCAGTTAAACAAGGCTAATGTGCTCTGGAAAAGCGGTTATAGCTGCTATGCAGTATTAGTAGAAATTAGTCAGATGTTACCAGCTCAATACAAAGTAAATTTGCAAAGGTTTCTGCAAATGACAGTTTGGCTGAGTTAACATGACAGTTGAGAGCATCCAAGCTGTTTTAGTATTGGCAAGTGGGTTTAGAACCAAAGTCAGCATTTATCAGTGTAGGAAACAAATTAAACCAAAGGGGGAGGTGGGGAGGACCAGTAATGAGCTTCAGTACTTTGCCCACCATGCAGAAACAATCCTCATTAACGCTCTTCTTCACAGTTTCAAAATAAAGCTACGGGGTCACCTTCTTCACATTGTTTAGCTTCTTCTTCACAGGGCTTCCTCTCCTAAAATTCTGTGCCCTAGAATACCCTGTAGTAGTGAGTTCCAAAATATGGGTCTGTAATCGTGTCAACTTACTATTCCAAGGAAATGATGATGGAGAACCTTGTTTTGCAATAGTGCATTGATTAGTATAATTATCATGCTATAAAATATATTAGTGGGGGCCGGCGCTGTGGTATAGTAGGTTCAGCCTCCGCCTGTGGTGCCAGCATCATATATGGGTGCAGGTTCGAGTCCCCATGGTGCAACATGCATTGATTGGATGGACAAACCACAGGAGCTGTAAAAAGACTTTGTGCACATATTCAGCAAATATAAAGATGCTGGTGTAATTTTCATGATTAATTTTACACTTAAAATAGAGGACTCTGAAATCTGTATGCAAATATATGTGAATTAGATGCACGTAGAGATTCAAGTCAGGAACCCAGCCTCTTAAAACAAACATAGATTGTTCAGCATACATTCACAATAATTAACTTTCTTCTTTCCTTTAACAGTTGAATGTTCTGTCAATACTATTATGACATAACTGAATATGTTATTCTATTCTGGTTCCAGTTGTTCTATTTGGACTATTGCCTTGGCCTCCAAACTATTCTTAGTGCCATTCTGAAACTTATTTGTAGTTTAATGAGGTCTCTAGACTATAGAAACAGATGATACATGGTTTCTGATACTTAAATACTAGCATGATACTTTCAAATACCATCTAATTTTGCTCCTAAAAAATCTACTTGTGACATTGGTTTCAAGTTTTATACATAAGAACATAAACTTGCAGCTATTTCTACAGCTGTTATCATCCATGAATTTGCCACAAACTTTAAAATAGTTGAGGCAGTCATAATTATTTTGTATAATACTTAAAAAATACAGCTTGGAGGCAGGAAGTGGGAAGCTCCAGGTTTTGCAGGAATAATTGATAGTTCCACATATGAGTTTGCCTGGGCTGCCTTAAACAACGGACTACAAACCAGGTGGTATGGACAACAGAAATTTATTTCTCATAGTTCTGCAAGTCTAAGCCCAAAAGTCAAAGTGTTGGTAGGATTCCTTCATTCTGAAGGCTGAGAGGGAAGGATCTGCTCCAGGGCCTACTGTGACTTGCATTTAGCTGTCATATTTAAGTGGAATTTTTCTTGTATGCATGTCTGTGTCCAAATCTCCCCTTTTTAGGAGGACACCAGTTATGTTAGATTAGGGTGCCCAAATGACTTGACTTGATTTAGTTTTTAACAAATAGCAGCATTTTATTTATTATTTATTTATTTGAAAGATGAAAAGGCCAAGAGACACATAGAAAGAGGGAGAGCTTCCATCTCCTAGTTCATTCACAAATGCCTACAACATCATGTGCTGAGCCAGGCAAAAGCCAGGAGCTAGGGACAAACTAGGTGACAAAGATCCAGACACTTGAGCAATCACCTGCTACCTCCCAAAGTGTGCCATAGAAGGAAGATGAATCAAAACAGAGGTAAGACTTGAACCCAGGGACTCCCAACTGGGACACAGGCATCCCAAGTGGCATCTAAAACACTGCACCAAACACTTATCACCGTACTTTATTTTGTTTCCCTCTAAAAATTCCCTGTTTCTGAAAAAGATCACATTATGAAGTGGGTGGGGGTAAGATTTCTACATATGAATTGGGGAAGAGGGGTGCATAATTAAAACAATAACATGAAAATCTACATTGCATGATTTTCTATTCAGTGCCTTTATCACCATACCATGCTATAGATGGGACGGAGTGGAAAATGTTCTCAGGAATGAATCAAAGAGAGCTGAATGGTATGAAAAGAGGGCGAGGTAGGCAGTCATAGGGAACAGTTTAAAAAATAAATCATCATAGATTAAAAAGTGTTCATGAAATTGAGATGATTCTAAATTTAGTAATACATAGATTGCCATTTATAATTGATTAGGATTACCTAGAACAAAGTCTAGAAGAAGGCAAGAAAGTTCTTGCCTATTGTATTTAGTTTATGACAATAAATTCCAATTATTTTGAAGTGACATTGTTGTAGACCATGTAAACTTGACTCCAAGAACTTCTTTTGCTGCTCTGTTTAAGTATCAAAGACAAATGACCATACTGAATTCTTTGGCAAGGCTCCATTTATTCAAAGCTCGTCTGAACTTATTTTTACTCTGCAGTTCCTCTGGGAGAAAAAGTACACATTGACCAAATACTGAGCTGGTGGTAGAAGCTGTGATTTCAGAAGAGGAGTGAGCTAAGCCTGAGATTCAGCTCATGTGTTTTTTGTAGCTTCTGGAGACAAATTATCCTAATAGGAATGGATCCCAATTTATGGAGTCAACCTGGGAGGGGTAGCTGTCCTCACCTTCTCCCTACCTATCTCCCTGCTCCTCTAAACACATAAAATACTGAAGCTATTAATTCAAAAGACATGTTCACAGATCCCTTTCAGTTCTGCCCCTAATCTTGCTTTCATAAATGTTTGTCCTTCTCACATAATGGAACTGTAGACTGCTTTAGCAGCACCCGGGCTTTAAAGTTCCTGGAGGAGGGAAGTGAGTGTTGATGAGATTTGGGGGCAGTTTATGTGGGCAATTTGTTATGCATGCAGGAGGATTGGTGACTTGATGACAGATTCACTTCTTGGTCCTGAACCTTAATTAACAAGGTCCTCTGAGTTCCAAGCTGAGAAACAATAGGAAAATTCTTCTGAGCATTTCACAGATTATTCCGTTATAATCTTAAGGGATTTATTTTATTATTCTTTTTCTTTCTTTGTAAGCTGCAGCTTTGTTGCCTTGACATCCACACGCAAGAGTTATTGGTATCAAACCAAGCAATATGAAAAGCTATCATGCACTTCTCAGAGTTTCCACGGTTCAAAGCTGTGTTGGCGACCTGCCAGCCCTGACAGATGAACTGCGCCCCGATGTGGTGAGTGTGGCTGCACATGCATAAAGGAGATCTGGTGAGGTGGGAAAGGCTGCCAACTCACAGAGCTGTGAGAGAAGAAAGTAGGGTGCTTCTACATGAAGGCCTGAGGGTCACACTCTCCCCTGCAGGGCCCACATGGAATAATTTTGTTGACTAGGCACAACCATCAAATAAGTATCACACTCTTGAATTATTTTTAAGACAGAACCAGCTACGTTATCAACAACAACAAAAAAAACTAATGATTATTTCATTTATCTCAGCCCAAAATAGACCAAAGATATTAAGGTTTGATATCCTGTTGAAACTAAAACAGCAATATCTAGGAACAGAGTTGTAAAAACTCTTCTCACCATCAATGACTGTGCTTTTAGGAATTTCCAAGAAATTTTGGCACATTTTGATAAACCCTGATTCTGTCCCAAGGAGAAGTTTTAAACTTTGTGGTCTGTATTTTTCAATTGCAGTTTGAAAATGAAGATGAAAATATGAGATGCATTGTAGTTTGTTTTATCTTTCCAAATACCTTGGTGTTTGACAATATTTTAGGATAAGATGTAAGATGGTAGACAGTGTTGCTGACATTTCACAAGTGAAGATGTAAGATGTTCAGTTATTGTTAAACCCCACATAGTTAGAAAGCAACAGGTATGGAACCCAAAGTCAACTCTATTCTCACTGCCCTTCCTTTGATACAGAAACATCCTCCTCTGCTTGACAACATATTCATTTACAAATATTTGAATTCCCCCAGTGTCCTAGAACTTTGTTAGTGCCCCCAGGCATTTTCCCTGCCATTCAATAGTGGACATGGGTTGCAACTGAATGTTAACACCCTGGGGTGATCATCCACCCATAAGAGATAGACATACACCACCCTTGTCTCTCAGTGGCACAGTTTTCCATTGCAACTTCAACACCAGCTTTTAATTTGTTCACATTGGACTGAAACCACAGCAACTGATCCATTCATTAATGTACTCATATTGAGCATCTTTCTCTGTCTCAGTGATCACTTTCACATTCAAATATACCACTCACACTCAAATCAACCTGAAACTAACATTAACTTACATGTTTCTCATGTATTACAGTGATCAATGGACCTTGAATCTAAAAATCCCACAGTAATCAGAAAAATGTAGCTGGATTTTTGTTTCTGTTCCAGATCTATCTTCACATGAGACTTAATTGCTACTTTTAAAGAAAACATTTTGGTACCATGGTATTTTAAGAAAAAATGCAAATTGAGTGGAAGTTATACTTGAATAAAAGTAAACAAGAAGAAGATAAATATCTGCTCCTTAATTCTACCAATTGCAAACAGCCATTTTAACATCTTGGTGAATACAGACATACACATAAATATATATTCACAAAATAAAACAATTTTGTATACTGTTTTATAATCTTTTTTATAATATATAGTGAATACCCTTTAGACTCTTCAACCATAAATTTGTTGCATTTATACCTGCAGACAATGTAACCTGATGTATATATAGAATTTTAGTCAATGTTATAAGAAAATGTTCCCTTATTTCCTACTAACAAAAGTTCTTAAACTTAAGGAAAGTTCTTATTTATATTCCTAACAGCAGTAGATGAAAACACTGGCAGCCTCACCATAGCTCAGCTATATATCCTTTTAAAATGTGCTAATTTGCTAGTTGACAATTGGATTTTACCACTTGCAAACCCAGTTTTTCCTTCCCCAACAATCTCCCTTTTGTGTGATTATCAGAAGTGTGGCAGCCATCATTTTTGAGAATGGGAGAAACTTTCTTGTGAACTTTTCAACTTCCATTTCTTTGTGGTTGAAATCGATCTCCAACAGCTGTCTGAAAGTTCCATCTTAAGGCAGCTGCTGGTTTTGGGTGGCTATTGGGGTAGGAAAAATGTGCCAAGGGATTGAAGAAGTAAGCAGATAGAACTTTCTGAGGTACTGGGAATTGAACTTCAACACAATATTTTCTTACGGCTTTTTGAATATGTTGGAGACTTTTAACATGTGACCTTCCCATAACTTCTAAACCAACAATATCCTGTGTGCTTCTAGGTTTAAAAGCAAAGCTTCTTTAAAGAATGCAGTAGAGAAGTGTATGAATCTGACTTTATTCAATTTTTTATTTCCTCTGTTAGGAATACTGTACACCATGACTTTCATAGTTTTTAGAGAGTTATGAGGTTACAGCCTACCTGGGAAACTTGAATGGTTTGAAACTAGGGGGAGACAGGGAATAACCTCTCTTCTGAGCATAAGTATTATCTGGTATCATGTTTCTAAAACATAAGCAAGGAAACTATGATGTCAAAAGAAAATTATTTTAGTGAAAAATGGAGAAGAAAGAGAGAGAGAGAATAGGAAAGAGGAGGGGAGAGGGAGAGGGAGGAAAGGAAGGCTCACAGAATAAAGGGAAGAAAAGAGGGAGGAAGGCAGAGAGGAGGAGAAGAAGGAGCTCTGTGTAGTGACAGGTTACTTAAACTGCAGGGTACTTTGGAATACCACACTATTTCTCTAGGAGAAATTCCTGTAGTCACATACATCCCAGGATGATAAATGTTTTCAATGAGATTGAAAGGGGCGTATATCAGTTATGACTATTTCCATAAATTCTGCAATATCCTACTATTAACATTGTTACTTGGTGGGCATTGAATACTGTCAAGATTCAGACTAATGTGTTTGCTCCTCAGACTCAGCTACACAGGTTTTTACTGGTGGTACCCTGTGTCTTATACCTGCTTTCAAAAGAATTACAGACATCTCCACCATCCTATGCCAGATCAAAGAAGACAGAGAAATATGCTTTCTGATATAACCCATCTTCATACCTCTTTTCTTGGAATCTACAGCCCTGGATAGAGAAAATTAGCACAGCTATAACTGTGTAGATCCATTCTCCCTCCAAAATAGGTCTTTTTGGTTGATGTCTCCTTTTCCCCCCTTTACATCTTTTACTGCTCAGCCCTGCACTGTTTCTAACTTTCCTGCTACCTTGATCGAAGGAGAGGCAACAGCAAAATTCCTCATAGAGTCCACAAGCACATTTTTTTTTTTTTGGAGAAATTTTTTTCTCTCAATATATTCACTTAAGGCTTGTCAAGTAGTTTGAATTAGCACTTGTGAACACTGAGGCTAAGTAGATGGACTATGCAATATCTCAATTATCACTTTTACTGAAATCAGATTACTAAGTGAAGTTGAATTATCAAAAAATTGAAGAATATTAGATGAAAGGAGTAAGAAGTTATGAATCTCTCCTCTACCCTTAAAATTATTCATAAAGCAGTAATTATTTTACCAAGTAGAATAATGCCTACAAGTAAGTACAGGCAGCTCCAGAACCCCCACTCCATAAAAGTAGAATCAAAGAATTGTTAAAGAACTTATCATTCAGGATTTACTATATTTCAGTTTTGAAAGGCACAGCATTATGTTATTAAATACACATATCATTACTGAGTAACTACCCTGTGCCATGTTCTTTCAACACCTTGGAAATATCACTGCAAACAATTTCAAAATGAAGAAAAAATATAATTACACTCACTTTACAGATTAATAAATTGAGGATACAGGTCATTTACACCAGGCCAATCAGTTGATAAGTATCAATAGAAGAATTGATTGTTAGAATCAAGAATAGATTGTTATCTAGTTGATTCTCCAGTATGTGTCATGATGCAACCACACTCAGAATCAAAGAATTGGTTTCTATATCTAGCTTACAGTCTGCTCCTATATTAAATCTGAGACAGTGACTTCTTTTTCATATTTTCTTTCTTTCCAATCTGTCGCCTTATCACTTTTTCTTGTTTTATTTCCCATGTACTTTCCTTACAATGGGGGAGGCAATGTAATCAATTTTCTTCAAGGAACAGGAAAAATGTAAACTAAATCTCAGAACATCTTTTTTTTGCCTCCATGTCAAAATACTCATTTAAAAAATATTTTTGAGAGGGAGGAAGGAAGGGGGGAGAGGGAGAAAAAGAGGGAGAAGAAGGAGAGAGAGGGAGAGAAAAGAGAGAGGGAGAGGGAGAGAGACAGAGAGAGAGAGAGAGAGAGAGAAAGAGAGAGAAATGAGCTCACATCTGCTAGTTCAATGGCCACAACAGCCAGGACTTGGCTGGGGCAGAAACCAGGAACTGAGCTCTCAGTCCAGATATTCCATGTGGACGGCAATGGCCCAATTACTTGAACCATTTCATGCTGGTTCCTGGGGTCTACATTTGCAAGAAGCTGGAATTAGCAGCCAAAACTGAATGTCGAGCCTAGGTACTCTGAAGTGGGACATGGACATCTTAACCAGTAGTGAAATGCCCACCCCAAAACATTTTTTTTCAGTAGAAATATAGTTATGTGAATTTAGTGTGAAATAGTACCATTTTAGTGTATGAAATTTTCAAAACTTGTTAAGTAGATACAAACACATGGTGTAAACACAGGGTCTCTTGAGCAAGGGAGTAAGGTAATGTCATAACCATGCAGAGAAATAATAAGTATTTTGACTTTGCTGAAGTGTTAATAATTTAACACAGTCAAGTCTTGTTTTGTTTTTCAAGAGAATACAACGAAACACTCTAGTATTCCAAACAACTGAGACAAATATCTCATACATCCCATAAATCAAGAAAGATGTTTATGTTCTCTGAAGCATTCTGTTACAGTTTACTTCTTGAGTGATAAGCTTCCAGAAGAGTGTTGGATTTGGACTACAAAACAGAAATGCTCTCTGTTTGGTTAGACAGTTACCATCTTTAAAATAGACTGTGCCTTGCTATTCCAGGAACTGTTTTAAGTGATTTCTTAGAAACTGTGATAAATATTTCTTCCTAAGATGTAGAAATCTGCTCCAGAAGCACCAGCCTGGAGAAGGAGATATGTAGGAAATAAAAGATCTTCAGTTTCATAACTTCAAACGTGGAGATGAGGATGTCACGGTGATGTCTGTTATAGTTTGTCTCTTTTCTCAAAAAAAGTTTCATGTGCTATTTGGCTTCTTTTCACTCAGTTTACTTATAAATCGTTTTTGTGTCCTTTTTCTGTAGTTGTTTTTAAGATCAATGGACAAAAATAATTTCATAGCCCTTTGTTTAATATGACTACCTAATAAAAGTAGAATTAAAACAAGTGCGCGCACACACACACACTCACACTAATACAATTCCATCACCTGAGTTAGCAAAGACGCTCTACTGTTGGCCTTCACTGTGTACAAGGTGGCTGTGTTGTGGGTGGGACATGAAGCAGTGATGTATACAAGGGTCAGATCTCTTAATAGATAAGAATAAAGCATTTCATGGACAATGCTCCAAATCTCACTTGAAATTATAGAAAAATGGCCTAATGGCAAATATGTATGTTTTTTAAATCTAAATAGTTGGCACCCGATCACACCCTCAACACTATTGTGTGCATGATGTCAACTCTTTTTTTAAATTACTTGAAGCTACACAGTACAGTCGTTAAGAGGACAAGCTTTGAAAACAGTTAACATATTGAACTTTGCTCTCAGAATTGATATCCAAGTGTCCTGGTGATGTTCTCAGTCAACAGTTTAAATCTTCTCATTTGTGAAAAGAAATACTACTTAAATTACAGGGTTGCTAATGGATTTGAATGAGTTAAGTATCAGCATCAACTATACAGATATCATCTGGAAATTCCTTTTTGCTCTGAAGGTTTAAGTGAACCTGGTTCAAATGCATCATGGCATTAACTGAGAGAATGCAGAAATCATTATGTATTCCAGGACATTCTTGGTAGCATATTTTATCAAAGCCCACACTTCCTCAGCTGCTTTATACTCATACGCTTTCTCAGATTACTTTATGGTTGAATAAGCTCTTTCACGTCTGCACACATAATTCTATAAAAATAAATAAACAAACAAACCAACCTGGGATGGTATTTAGCCTACAGGATATGAGACCAGTTAAGATATCTGTGTCTCCACCGGCGCCGTGGCTCACTAGGCTAATCCTCCACCTGCGGCGCCGGCACCCGGGGTTCTAGTCCCGGTCGGGGCGCCAGTTTCTGTCCCAGTTGCTCCTCTTCCAGGCCAGCTCTCTGCTGTGGCCAGGGAGTGCAGTGGAGGATGGCCCAAGTGCTTGGGCCCTGCACCCCCATGGGGAGACCAGGAGGAAGCACCTGGCTCCTGGCTTTGGATCCGTGCAGCAGCGCCGGCCATAGCGGCCATTTGGGGGGTGAACCAATGGAAGGAAGACCTTTCTCTGTCTCTATGTCTATAACTCCGTCTCTCTCTCTCACTGTCTAACTCTGCCTGTCAAAAAAAAAAAAATATATCTGTGTCTCACATCTGAGTGCCTGGGTTTTAAACTCCTGT